TAACTGTTATGTGACCTTAAGCGTCCCAGAGTAGTATTCTAGATAATCTTCATAATAAAACTCAAACTTACTATGGACTTTATGTTGACTCCGAGAAACTCTAGAAGTGGAATAGGTATAGTGATGACGTTGTGGAGAACTGTGAACTTGAGACATTTTTTATGTTGGATAAGTATATGAATAGGCATCATAATGATCATATGAACTCATGATTGATTTTGAAATATGAGAATAACATAAAAATGAGTTCAAGAATGCAATTGAAAATTACAAGAAGTGAAAAAACTTAAATAGAAGAAAATATGTTTTGGACCCTTTGCAAATTCTCTAATTTTTTAATGAATAAAAATATTAATCTCAAATTCTATGGGAGTATGCATACCATAATCAAGAGAAAATTCTAAAATTTTTTGGAGATGATTCTACAATTTTATGGATCTGTTGGGGATGTTTATGCAATTTTGGAACTTTTAGGGGAAAGTTTCTGCAATTTCTAGAACTTCTAGTGGTGGTTCTACAACTTCTAAAATTTTCTGGGGTGTTTCTGTAATTTCTAGAACAGTTAGGATATTGCTGCAATTTTTTGAATCTGCTAGGGACAATCCTTTGTTTTTTGGCTGGTTTTTTTTTTAACTGCTTATGGCGATGAACAATGTGCACAATGAACTTTTTTTTTTTTTTTTTGTGATTTGTACGAATCGAAGTTGGACTCTTATACCAAATTGACGTAGATCGTATTAGTTCTGATACCAAATTGATGTAGATCGTAATAGCTCTGATACCAAAGTGATATAGATCGTAGTAAGGAAAAATTAGGGATGAGAAGGAAAGAAGGAGATGAGCAAAGAGAAAACTTGAAGAAGAAGTAATATCAGGATTTAATATCAGTAATCAATAATAATCAAAGTCTAGTTTAAATAAAACCCTTACATGCATCCCTTTATATAAGGAAACTAAAACCCTAAAATAAATAAACAATGACAAAAAAAACCCTCATAACTTAAAAGAAACNCTTTATATAAGGAAACTAAAACCCTAAAATAAATAAACAATGACAAAAAAAAACCTCATAACTTAAAAGAAACTACTTAAAAGATAAATATTAAAAGTATCTAAATAACTATCATAATTAATCTATAATTTCTATTAAATTCCTATACAATCCCCATCAGTGATGTAGGGCTTGAAATTAAGCTCAAACATGGTATGATTCTTGATTTTAAGTAAGTATTCTTTACTTTAATCAGAAAGAACAAGTAAATAACAATCAAGAAATGAAAATTAACCAAGAAATCATGTGCTAGTTAGTCTAATTACAAGGCTAGAAGTATGTCACATAACATGAACTTCACAGTTGCTAATAATGGAGTTTAAACCTGAGGGCTTCCCTATGCTTGGCAAGCTGTGCAGTAGAGGATGAAAGAACTACAGTGAAGGAATGGTAGGTAGGCTAATAGGCGAGCAAAGCGTGCACTGCTCGGCAAAAGTGGTCAGTGTTGAAAGACAACTTTCTTCAGAGCCTTTAGGTTTACCAACTCCTTTTTGAATTTTTCCTTGGGACGATTTCACCAGCATAAACTAGAAGATATTCAAAGAAAAGAAGTGAAAGAGGCATGAAGCAAGAGGGGCCTTTAAGGTCACCGGGACCCTCTTCATAGGGTCATATGTAACAAGGTTCTTCGCCCTCTCTGTGCTCCCAATTCCCAAACACGAACAAAATATCTAGGAGATGAATGACCACGTAAAACTCCTTCTTCCTAACTTGGAAGTAATAATTCTTCTTGGTAGTAGACTTTATGATGTAACAATAAAGGATCTCCCAAAGGCTAAGATTGATATCAAGAAGGTTGTTGAGGGCCACCACACCCATCACTGTCCTAAAGAATTTAGGACAGCAATGGATGGGGTAGAGTTTTAAAGAAGTAAGAACTCTAAAAAAACAAAAAGGGTCGAGAGGAAACCTTGTGGAGATGGAATGGACTCTCTAGAGCCTATGAGAGGTTCATCTTGCTCAGTGACCCCGATGACCACGCCATCAGGTATGTTATATTTGGCCCTAAAAGCATGATCTTATACTTTTTTAGACTGGGGGCGTGACAGAATAAAGAAGAGGAAGGCACCAGAAATGGATCCATAAGCGAAAACGTCGCAATTTTTGAAAAAGAAATGACCTCTTTGATGATGGAGAACCGTTTTAACACACCTTTTTCCAAGAAATGAAGCAGTACATATAATGACGAATATCATTACGACAGGGAATGTTAGCCAACGATCGCCACATGGTAAACATGCTCTTGGGACAAATGAATGGGTTTAGAATATCTCTATGCATGATTAGATCATTTAATACAACACATGGCATAAAGCACATGACAAAATATAAAGGGGCAATTTGGTGAAAACAAGGTGCATTTGGTCAAGCCAAAAATAGATCGAGCTAACCAGAATTGGAATCACCCTCAGTACCGCTAGCAANATGACGAATATCATTACGACAGGGAATGTTAGCCAACGATCGCCACATGGTAAACATGCTCTTGGGACAAATGAATGGGTTTAGAATATCTCTATGCATGATTAGATCATTTAATACAACACATGGCATAAAGCACATGACAAAATATAAAGGGGCAATTTGGTGAAAACAAGGTGCATTTGGTCAAGCCAAAAATAGATCGAGCTAACCAGAATTGGAATCACCCTCAGCACCGCTAGCAAAACTCCCGAGCAGTTTGTGCAGATCGAGCAAATGTGTGAAGACATTATTAACAAATCAACATCCAAATGGGACTCTAGTTCCACAATTCGGGGGATAAGGACCAGTTCCACTCGAGCAAAGGATAGCTAGGCTATTGCTAATGATCAAATGCAATCATGAGCAATAAATAAGGAAACTACTTATTCAAAGATGCACATTGTAAATTTGGCCTAAAAAATAGACAAATCAGAAAAGAAATCTACGAAGGTTCAATCATGATTTGGGAAGATCTGACTGGAAAATAGGTGTCACTCTATTCCAGCCAGGATTCTAAACCCTAAAAATCAAGGTACAATCTTATAAATACTAGATGAGTTTAAATCTAAAGGTACACACTTCTTTTCTTGTTAATTGCTTGCTTAACTTCAAAGCCTTTATTGACGAAAGCATCGGAACGCCTTCGGCTAGTTAAACTCCAATCAATGGCAGTTTGTATTANAAGGTACAATCTTATAAATACTAGATGAGTTTAAATCTAAAGGTACACACTTCTTTTATTGTTAATTGCTTGCTTAACTTCAAAGCCTTTATTGACGAAAGCATCGGAACGCCTTCGGCTAGTTAAACTCCAATCAGTGGCAGTTTGTATTCTTTCTCAACAAGTATTATACAATATGTGGATGAATAAGATTTACTCACATAACTCACAACATTGCATTACCTGATTCTAGAAATTAACCCAAATATTTTCAAAAAAGAAAGGGCAAGCGTTGGATAGATCTCAACAAATCTCAAGCCAATAAAAAATTAACTTCAAAAATTAAACATGCAGCAAAGATGTCAGTATTCCCCTCACTACGAAGAATGGCAAAATAAAACCAACAACAAATATCCCAAATTTCTAGTTTGTATAGGGTCAGATCTAAGGAGAAAGTCAAACTCAACAATATATAAATAAATTAATCGGCAAGAAAACACAAAGCACATGAAAAGAGCATTCTTTAGGAACTTGTTAGAAGTCAATTAGACCTTTTCTCCCGTAGCTTGTGCCATTTGAAGGGCTTGAGTTTTGAATGAGACTGGGGGTTTTCAAAGGATTGATCAAGCTTTCTTGGAAATGGAGTGAAAGTCACATATAAAAGAGAAAAAAAATCCTTTTAAACTAAGAAGCACAGGCACAGGACCCAGATATGACACGACACGGTACGGTATTTTTCTAAAAAATAAGACACGAATACGTCGAGGACATGTTGAATATAAAATATAAATTTATATATTTCTCTGATCAGAAATTTAGAAATTTGACTCAAAATTTAGGCTCAATACACACACTAATTTGGTCTAAACTAATGTGTGAGCCCAGCAGCTCAATTTGGGAATAAAGTAGATTCAACTCATAAAGCCCACTAACAAAAGAACCAAAATAGAGTCTGAAGCCCCTTAGATGAGGCCTGACCACTAGCAGATTTTAGATAACTTGAATGGGTTAGTAATCTGGCTAACCAATCAATAAAAGACAAGTGGTAGATAAAATATGATAAGGACCTAATCTGATTACACGTACACAATCGTCAGAGTTTATGTTCTCCCTCGCTTTCTCTTTTTCTCTGTTACTTCCGCAACTCTCTCTCTCTCTCTCTCTCTCCCCAGCACTAATCTATGATCTACAGTATGATAGCAAGCTCTTTTTCCTATGTTCCTTCCATAGAGGGATCTCCTAGGCAGTTCCTAAACACATGCATAATGGCCATTTTATATCATCTTCGTCTTCCTCATGCGATGCAAATATTTCATCTATTTTCCCCAGACGCATTTGGGCATGTCACGGAGGTGTTCAGACATGTCTAAAATTTTAAAAAATTAAAAGAAAATTTGGACACTCTTTCTTATGTGTCAGACACCAGTACATAAGCCATTTTAGTGTGTCGGTGCTTCATAGCTTTTAAATGATGGGTTTAGGTGCACAGTAGATTATGTCCCATGTTTGCAATTTTTTTCAAAACTGGTGACAACAGTAATATTTTCTGAATAATTTGTAAACTAAACTGAATCTAAAGGTTGCAATACATTATCTACCATTGAAGTCACCCAAACAATTCATTACGGACAAACATCTGTAACATATTTACTGCAATGAACAAAGAAAGTTAGGAATGTACTGGAAAGGAACATCAAGTGATTTAGTATGGTTTTCTCTTGTTGTAGAATATTTCTATACAGAATTTGTCAACTAATATGAAGCTACAAGTTGTAATACATTATCTACCACCAAACTTACCAAAAATATACATTTGGACAAACATCAGCTGCAATAGATCGCTGCAATCCTCAGAGAAAGTGAAGGATGTACTGGCAAGGAACCTCGAGTGATTTAGTTTTCTTTTGATCACATTTTCATACGAATTCTTTTCGTTATAATCATTGCAACAAATATTTATATACCAACAGATAAATACGTAAAACACAAATGCTGAATTAAAGACACAATTGCCATCTTGGATCACAAGAGTATACCTGCATACTCGCACACAAATTGCCCCTCCCGAATCAACTGACCCGCATGCAAACCCCAACCTTTCCTCTTATCCTTCACAATCTTCAACCTCATCGTCACCCCCCTCTGAGTTAACCGATTCCCACAATCCAACCCACACCCACAAGTTAGTCCACACTCCCGAGACAACTCGTCCGAGTCACAACCAGAAAAACACGGACACCCAGAATCCCCATCACACCTCTCATCACATCCGCAGCCACAAGCACCCTCGACACAAACAAGAATTGGTTCTGGTCTATCCACGCTTGAGTCGGGTCGAGTTCCCGGTTTTGAACCCCATGGTTGGCGCAATCGAGATGGTTCGGCGAGGCCTAGGGTTTGAGCTGAGGTGTAGATGAAGAATGAATAGAGGTTGTGATCGATGGTGTTGATGAATGGGATAGGACATTTCTCTAAGGTTCTGGAGGCATCGGAGATTCTTCTAGAAGTGATGGCTTGGGAAATTTGATGAAGAATTTTGCATGTTGACGAAATACAGGCCAATTCAGTTGGGTGCAACCATGGGAGGATGTGCTCGGCGCAGTGGATTAGAGCCGGGGTGGCGGTCTCATGTTCTTGGTAGCTGCTTCTGCTACGTTTCTCCATTCGAAATCTGCTGTTTTGAGGGAGAAAATTATCCATGGTAAGAGGGTACTAGGCTGGCATACTTATATGGTACTCACTAACAGCAACCCAAGGGGCTCTGTATATTTCACTAGTTATTTTCCGTACGATCTTCTCCGATATCTAAAATAGTTATAAAATATATTTAAATATTTTATTATCTCCTTTAGCTATCTATTTTATTAAATTCACTCTAACAATGTTATCTATTTTAATTAGCCACTTCAACTAATTTTCAATAATAAAATTCAAAAAATAATAATTCAACTATATATTGTATAAATTTAATCAATTATGGGTTACAAGAATAAATATCATAAAAGATGAGTTACAAAAATAAAAATCATAAAATACTTAAGGAGTTTTTAGGAGGGTTTTGTTAGATTTTTTTACTACCTCAGTTCTTCTTCTTCTCGTACAAAGCTCAGTGATAATACAGATGCTAAAATCCAGATGGTAAAAATCCTCATATCCCCAAATACTTTGTGTTCAACCACCAATCACCCAACTAACAAAGAGCAGAAAAATCAAACTTGAATAGCCGAAAAGGGTCAAAGTGACAACAATAACTAACCTCCAAGAAGCGAACTTCTTGCTCAAATCGCTTCAATTCAGTCGAAATTTGATGCTTCCTTTTGGTATCCGTCGTTGCCACCACCGATCGCATCAGCTCTATTCTTTCCGTTTGCATATTTCTGCTCATAAAAACGAAAAATTTTGTCTCTCTCTCGCTCAAAAATCAAATTCCAAAGAATTAAAACAAATGAGGGAAGAAATGGGTCATTGTAAATGAGCCGAAACTTGAAGAGGATGAGAAGGCGACGAGGGAGAGATTGGCGCCAGCGAGGAAGTTACTAGCTAGCTACATCTATTGAGTGAAAAATGGGGTTTTCTATTTTAGATAGNCTTCTCTTCTATTTTTTGTTCTCTTTCTTTCTTATATTATTTTTGTGGACCTTGGAATTTTCTGCGTCGTTCTTCTCATCTTTTTTTGTTCACTTTCTATATTATATTTTTACTGTGAGCCTACATTGTGTAGTCTATATTTTTTTATTTCGAGACGCATATTTTAATTTTTAAAGTACAACATATTTCTCAAGTGAAAAAAAGGCAAACTACATATTCATGAGCAAATTGTAAATTGGTTGTGCTGGCATTCATCAAATATTTGTTATTTAATTTGTTGTGTTTTCTATTTTTGATCTAGAATTTATTACCATATTGATGATAATTTTAGTGTTGTGCATATCTNCCCAGAATCCCCATCACACCTCTCATCACATCCGCAGCCACAAGCACCCTCGACACAAACAAGAATTGGTTCTGGTCTATCCACGCTTGAGTCGGGTCGAGTTCCCGGTTTTGAACCCCATGGTTGGCGCAATCGAGATGGTTCGGCGAGGCCTAGGGTTTGAGCTGAGGTGTAGATGAAGAATGAATAGAGGTTGTGATCGATGGTGTTGATGAATGGGATAGGACATTTCTCTAAGGTTCTGGAGGCATCGGAGATTCTTCTAGAAGTGATGGCTTGGGAAATTTGATGAAGAATTTTGCATGTTGACGAAATACAGGCCAATTCAGTTGGGTGCAACCATGGGAGGATGTGCTCGGCGCAGTGGATTAGAGCCGGGGTGGCGGTCTCATGTTCTTGGTAGCTGCTTCTGCTACGTTTCTCCATTCGAAATCTGCTGTTTTGAGGGAGAAAATTATCCATGGTAAGAGGGTACTAGGCTGGCATACTTATATGGTACTCACTAACAGCAACCCAAGGGGCTCTGTATATTTCACTAGTTATTTTCCGTACGATCTTCTCCGATATCTAAAATAGTTATAAAATATATTTAAATATTTTATTATCTCCTTTAGCTATCTATTTTATTAAATTCACTCTAACAATGTTATCTATTTTAATTAGCCACTTCAACTAATTTTCAATAATAAAATTCAAAAAATAATAATTCAACTATATATTGTATAAATTTAATCAATTATGGGTTACAAGAATAAATATCATAAAAGATGAGTTACAAAAATAAAAATCATAAAATACTTAAGGAGTTTTTAGGAGGGTTTTGTTAGATTTTTTTACTACCTCAGTTCTTCTTCTTCTCGTACAAAGCTCAGTGATAATACAGATGCTAAAATCCAGATGGTAAAAATCCTCATATCCCCAAATACTTTGTGTTCAACCACCAATCACCCAACTAACAAAGAGCAGAAAAATCAAACTTGAATAGCCGAAAAGGGTCAAAGTGACAACAATAACTAACCTCCAAGAAGCGAACTTCTTGCTCAAATCGCTTCAATTCAGTCGAAATTTGATGCTTCCTTCTGGTATCCGTCGTTGCCACCACCGATCGCATCAGCTCTATTCTTTCCGTTTGCATATTTCTGCTCATAAAAACGAAAAATTTTGTCTCTCTCTCGCTCAAAAATCAAATTCCAAAGAATTAAAACAAATGAGGGAAGAAATGGGTCATTGTAAATGAGCCGAAACTTGAAGAGGATGAGAAGGCGACGAGGGAGAGTTTGGCGCCAGCGAGGAAGTTACTAGCTAGCTACATCTATCGAGTGAAAAATGGGGTTTTCTATTTTAGATAATCTTTTAGCTAGTCTCTTGGAGCAATATTTTAGGGGAAAACTATCTAAAATAACTAAAGAGGAGGGTTTAACTAGCCTCTTGGAGATGCTCTAACCCACTCCCCACTCGTTTTTTTTGGCGAACTCTCTCTCTCACAGATGTTCCACAGCACCCCGAATTTCATCTTTATTATCGTACAGAAGATTCATCGTCCACCTAGGCATGGAGTTCTCTCACACACAAAAGCTCTGTGTATTTATACCACAGAAAAACCAAGCTAAAACCCATTAAAAACCTAGCTAAAACCCACTAAAATTCCACCAAAAAACCACTGAAATCCCATTGAAAAAACCCACAAAAAACCCATTGAAAGTCCATTGAAATCTCATCGAAAAAACCATGAAAAATCTAGCAAAATCTGTCTCTCAGCTCCCACTGAAAATCTCTCTCTCTTTATCTTCGTTCTGTTCTGGTTTGGTGGAGAGAATAAATTAGAACTAATTTTGATTTAAGGATTATGGAAATTTTTACTTGGGTTGTGTGGAATTTTTGTTGTGGTGTGTTTTGCATAGGGAGGCGTGATCGGACCTAATTTATGTCATACACCCAAATATAAGTAGTCAAATTACAATATTTCTCAGTTAAGTCTGAGGTTGAACCTACGAGGAGCTAACTGTCAGTATTCAAAACAGAAATGGTAAAGTTGTCATGTATGTAGTGTGCAACAAAACAGCTTGTGGTGAAAACTTAGAATTGTCAAATAAAAACTTAACTAATACCTTGAAAAACATTGATAAAAAGGTTCTCTCTAGTGCGAGGATTCAACATGTTTTTCATATTGTTTATTTATGAGAATGTCACATTACCACAATTAACTCTCATTTTACTGAAAAGTCAACTAGTAAGTTTGATATATATTGAACCATAACACAACTGGTTATGTTAGTTGGAATGTCTATATATTGTGCATCTGTAACGCCGCAAAACCCACCTTGGACGACATTACAATCTATAAATCATTCACATCATGAGCAGCACTAATATGATCCATAAATAAATGAGACTTCATTTTTCATCCATAAAATTCACAACATTATCCAGAAGAATATGCCCAACCATGGCATTTACATCCCAAAAAATTGACTATCATAGCGCAACAGAATAACGAAAGAAAAACTAGACTTCACAATGTTCAAAATAAATATCCTAGTCTAGAACAAAATAAAGTGTCACTCTAAGCGTCCACCTCGGGATTCACGCTCCCGTCTATCGGAGTCTCCTAGTGTTCCGGTTCATCAACACTCAACTCCTCCTCCAGTACATCATCTGAAAAATATAGTTTGTAGGGGGTGCGCACTAAGCTCTATAGCAACATTCCTCCCAAACTCGGACAAAGTTTAGAAAAACATATAAAATGGTCGGTCTCATTTTACAAATAACATATATGACTTTTGAAGAAAACAGGGACATTTGAAACAGTTCTCAAGTTTAAAGAACAACAATAACTTAATGAATAAAAGAACTCAATATACAATTAATAATTCATTTTACCATAAACCGTTTCTCACAAGTTCTTACAAAATTNTTAAAGAACAACAATAACTTAATGAATAAAAGAACTCAATATACAATTAATAATCCATTTTACCATAAACCGTTTCTCACAAGTTCTTACAAAATCTCATACTTCCCAAGATTCTTGTAGAAAATATTTTTGGTAGAATAAACAATAACTCATAACTTGAACATTTCACAACAATATATACATGTATCTCAACCATGATGTAAGACATCAACATGAATCAACGCATTGAATAACATCTAGCCCACACACACACACCCAAATCTTCTCAAAGATATCCAACCTTTAGAAAGGGCGTATACCATATCAATGGCACTGACATATCCAACATAGGCATTAGTATACTAACCCTCTGCTTCGATACCCGTGAGCAATAGCAATTTAGTCTTACCAAAGCACTAACCCCACTACTAGTGGTAGAAAAAGTTCAAACCCACATGGAGTATGAATAACGTCTACCCACTTNGATATCCAACCTTTAGAAAGGGCGTATACCATATCAATGGCACTGACATATCCAACACAGGCATTAGTATACTAACCCTCTGCTTCGATACCCGTGAGCAATAGCAATTTAGTCTTACCAAAACACTAACCCCACTACGAGTGGTAGAAAAAGTTCAAACCCACATGGAGTATGAATAACGTCTACCCACTTTACGATATCTCGTCAAAGGCCACCCATGGTCATCCCACACTCATGAGAGATACAATACCAAACTCAATTTCTCAATTTACAAGCATATCTCAAAAATTCTCAAATTTATCATGTGTCAATTCCAAAACCAATTAAGAAAAATACAAGAGATCACAACAACATCATTTTATTACTCAACACAAAGCACTATAGTTTTGAAATCAATAATAAAGGAAGAATTTAAGAAGAAAATTCACTACTCTCCAAAAACTAGGATTTTATAGCAAGAAAAGAGATTTCATGGGTAGTCAACCCTAACTTGTGTAAAACATGATAATAATTGCAAGAAGACCAAGAAAAAGATGATTTTATAGCAAATATATAAGATTTAGAGTCAAAGAATACATATATATTAGCCCTAGCATCAATGGGCAAGAATGGAAGAAAACCCCCTACATTTCTCCTTGGTTTTGGTGTGAAGGACAAGAAGATTTGATCTTTAATCACCTTTAGAACTCTTATTTTCCCCTTCTTTCTTCCTCTCTAAGTCTTTCTATTAGGGTTCTAAAAGGTATGGGGTGAGAGTGATGTGAAAGAATGAGAATAAATGGAGTGAAAATGGGTTTTAAAGCATAAAAATCCCGACTTTTTAACGGTCTACCAGTAGTTCGTATCGGGCTACCGGTAGTTCGGATCTACAAGACAACGTACTACCTGTTGAGCTGCCGGTAGTTCGGATCTACTGGACCTTTACTACCTATTGACTACTCGTAGTTCGGATCTATTGGACATTTACTACCTGTTGACTATCGGTAGTTCGGATCTATTGGACATGTACTACCTGTTGACTACCGGTAGTTCGGATCCACTGGACAGCATACTACCGGTAGGTCCTGTCCAAAATTGGCTATTTCCTCTATTTTTCATTTCAAACCCATTCCAAACCCTTCCAAATCCAACCCAAGCTTATTCAACATGCTTTTGTACATCAAACCTAGTTAGTANATTCAACATGCTTTTGTACATCAAACCTAGTTGGTACAAGTTCTATTACAATGATTTTATATATTTGCAAGCTAAACTAAGTTTTAACTATTATTTCCTCGAATTTTCATATTAACATTTCCAAAAGAAATAATAACTTGCTACATAAACCTACATACATATATAAAGATAAAAGGGTGGGGTTTATAATCCACCCCCTTAAAGAAAGTTTCGTCCTCGAAACTTACCTCAAGTAGCGAATAAATATGGATACTTCTCTCGTATCTCCAGCTCGGGTTCCCAAGTAGCTTCCTCCATTCCGTAATGTTGCCACAAAACCTTCACTAGTCGGATGACTTTGTTGCGTAACACCTTCTCCTTGGTGTCGAGAATCTTTACCGGTTGTTCTTCATATGTTGCTCCATCTTGAACTTTAATATCCTCCAAATCCACGACATGTGTTGTATCCGATTGACATTTCCTCAACATTGACACATGGAACACATCATGTACTCTCGATAACGGAGTTAGTAGTCGAGGTTGATACGCCACTTTGCCTATCACCTTGATCACTTCAAAGAGTCTGATGTATCTTAGTGCTAATTTTCCCTTCTTGCCGAATCTAAACACTCCCTTCTTGGGTGACACCTTGAGGAACACATAGTCCCCCTCTTGGAATTCCAAGGGTCTTCGTCGTCGATCCGCATAGCTTTTCTGTCTACTTTGTGCCGTGCGTAGCCTCTCCTGGATAAGTTGAATTTTCTCTGTAGTCTCCCGAACAATCTCTGGCCCAAACAAGCTACTCTCGCCTGCTTCTAACCAACACGTCAGTGATCGACATGGCCTTCCGTACAATGCTTCATACGGAGCCATTCTAATACTTGCCTGATAGCTGTTGTTGTACGCAAATTCCACCAATGGCAAATGATCACTCCAACTTCCCTTGAAGTCCAATACGTAAGCACAGAGCATATCCTCCAAAATCTGTATCACCTTCTCGGATTGGCCATCGATTTGGGGATGAAAAGCGGTGCTAAAATGCAATTCTGTTCTCATAGCTCGTTGTGGACTTTGCCAAAATTGCGTCACAAAATGGGAATCACGATCCGATATGATAGAGAGTGGAACTCCATGCAATCTCACGATCTCGCGGATATACAGTTTGATCAAGGTCTCTAGAGTGTCCATAGTCTTCATACTCAAGAAATGTGCGGACTTGGTGAGTCTATCAACTATAACTCATACTGCATTATGCTCGTGCGACATTCGGGGTAAATCCGACACGAAATCTATGGTGATGTGATCCCACTTCNAGTTTGATCAAGGTCTCTAGAGTGTCCATAGTCTTCATACTCAAGAAATGTGCGGACTTGGTGAGTCTATCAACTATAACTCATACTGCATTATGCTCGTGCGACGTTCGGGGTAAATCCGACACGAAATCTATGGTGATGTGATCCCACTTTCATTCTGGGATAGGCAAAGACTATAATAATCCTCCCGACTTTTGATGTTCGATCTTCACCTGCTGGCACACAACACATCGTGCTATGAACCTTGCCACATCCTTCTTCATTCC